GGGGGGGAGGGGTTGAGACTTACTCTAAACCCAAAATTTTCTTATAAAGCTTAACTTGACAAGATTTGTACCAATACAGACACAGTCTAGGCTTACTCCTCAAGCAGCTGTATTTAATAGTTATGTTTGCAGAGTGCGTTCTTTTTTTAAGCACTACGATCTTTGAATGTTCCCCAAATCCCACTTCCATGAACTATCCCCTCGCACTCATCACATTAGCCTAAGGGACGGTCGAGATTGGTTGATGTGGGCTTTGACAACACGAACAGGACGCCGCTTGTTATCAACAGGACGTAAAAGATTAACCACGAAAGCTCAACATTCTAGGAATCGAGGACAAAAACTATAAGTGAGTTCCCATCTGCTAACCAAATACTGAGACCAACTCAGCCCCACTCCCACAAAAATTTCCTGGAAAGTCAGCAGATTCCAGAAAGTCGTCACGGCAACGCTAATTCTAATACCCATTGATAAGAAGCTTGCACAGAGATAACAGATAACCCGGATTCGACCTAGGTGGGCGTGATAATAATTCATAAGCCGTTGCTGCGTGCAATAAACACTCTCGGATTACACAAATCCTCGCTGTTGAAAACGTCTGAAGGTCTTGCTTTCCATAATATAAAACACACATTAAGTAGCTGCACCTCGAGGAAATAAACCAGCAGGAGCAGGGGAATTCTTGTGGTTCTTCATAGAGGGAGTGGATATCGGTACTTTGAGACGGCTGGAAGGCAATGTTTTCGAGAATGGTGATGATAAAGAGAAATGCGCCCATCCTGGAACCCAAAATATTTCTGCGAAAACTGACAATCATCAAACTTTATGTGTCAAAGATACCTTTTGAGTCAGTAAGAAAAAGGAAAAGGAGGAAGGTTGGAGGGGGGGGGGGGTGTAAGGGGGAAAGGTGTTTGAACTGGCATGAACAGCCACGAGTGAATGTAAAAAAAATATGATTCAGAAAACATCGTCAGACAGTTTAGACAGACCCTTAAAGCAACCATCATTGGGTACAAAACTTAATCGTTGGCACCAAAGTAAACGGGTGACATTTTACGAGTCGTATTTGTTACCACAGCTGACTACCACCATAAAATCTTTATTTCAAGACTAAGGGAAATGCTACGAGGATCTTATCACAACAGACACTTCTTTACTCGTTACAGAAACTAAGATAAAGGATTCTGCTGATATGGCCAAGTCAGTAAAAGAGATTCACTTCGATGTGCTGAATTCCAGATCTATTTGTAGGTCCATAAAGGCAAACATGTGAAAGCTACACCTACTTGTTCTTTGAAGTAGAAGCAAAGAAGTATGCGAGAGGCACTCTGGCTGCCAGAACAACAGCATACCATGACTTACCTGACTCCAAGCAACGCTCACAAGATCACGAGGAAATTCAAGTGTAAGTGGGCCTTAGAAATAGAGCATACACAGACCCATGGCCCTCTGTCCTCTGCTCACGTAAGTCTTTTTTTATGGAACTATAGTAACATTAATACTACCCTCTTTAACAACGCTTCTCTCTCTCTCTCTCTCTCTCTCTCTCTCTCTCTCTCTCTCTCTCTCTCTCTCTCTCTCTCTCTCTCTCTCTCTCTCTCCGTCTTGAGTGGATGGCAAAGGATGATGTGGATATCTTGGGAAGACTGGATACCGGAAAAACCCAGACCACTAGAAACAATCAACCTCCCATTTTTTCTCCCCGTTATCTGACTATACTATTTCTTGACTATTCAATAGTATTTGACTAGATGAAACGGTCATGGGGCAAAGTTTTAAGTCTTTATATTCAATGTAACAATTTCGAAGGAAGATGACTTAAACCCTCATATTTACACTATAAGAAATAGAAAAATATTACAAGAACGGCAACCCCCCTCCGCCAAAAAACAAAACAAAACAGAACAATAACAAATAATCAACAAGCAGCAACTTTATTTCCACTCGGATTTGAACCCCAACTTCCTCGTGTGGGTCAGTTTCGTGATCCAACTGCGATACAGCTTCCAGGGGCCTAGTTTTATCAAGCGACTCAAACATAGCATTGTTATTGAACGCACAAAGCCAGAAATGGAAGTATCGGTAACGGTCTTTCATGATTAATTTTTAGACTTCCAGGCCCTTGTGGACAAGGCATGACAAGGCAGCGGTCAAATAGAAAGACCAAAAGCCGAGAGAAAACTTAAACACAAGGAATAAAGACTGCTCGTTCCATAAGGTCATCAACCCATCTACTTCGA